ACATCGATCGCAACGACTCTAGTGGCTATTAGATGACTTAAAAACAATTTCACTAAGCGACCTACCCCCACCACTGGAATTAGCGGTAGTCTCCAGACCTGTATGTAAGACCGTGATACCAAGTATAGAAAGACGGTTATATTTCTGGACAAATCTGCATTAATATTACTAAACAGCAACAATTACACATACTAAGCACAATTATTTTGACATATTTCATACTTTATTAAATATAAAATCAGTAAAACTTAAACATTAAGAGTCACATCTTCATATCAGGTGGTCTGAGTACCAAGTATTGGATTTTGGCTATATTTTCGGATAAATTTGCTTCAATACTATTAAATAGTAACAATTATATATACTTTTCATAATATTTCGACATATTTCATATTCTGTTACATATAAAATTAGTAAAACTTAAACATTGAGAGTCACACTTTCATATCATGTGGTCTGAGTACCAAGTATAGAAAAACGGTTATATTTCTGGATAAATCTGCATTAATATTACTAAACAGCAATAATTACACATACTTAGCATAATATTTTGACATATTTCATACTTTATTACATATAAAATCAGTAAAACTTAAACATTAAGAGTTACATTTTCATATCAGGTGGTCTGAGTACCAAGTATTGGAAGATGGTTATATTTCCGGATAAATTTGTATCAATACTATTAAATAGCAACAATTACATATACTTTGCATAATGTTTCGACATATTTCATATTCTGTTACATATAAAATCAGTAAAACTTAAATACTAAGAGTCACTTTTTCATATCAAGTGGTTTGAACACCAAGTATTGAAATATGGTTATATTATTGGATAAACTTGCATTAATATTATTGAATAGCAACGATTACATATTTTTAGCACAATATTTCGGCATATTTTATACTCTGTTACACATAAAATCAATAAACTTAAACATTAAGGGTCACATTTTATATCAAGTGGTTTGAGTAACAAGTATTGGAAGATGGATATATTTTCGGATAAATTTGCATTAATATTATTAAACAGCAACAATTACATATACTTTGCATAATATTTTGACATATTTTATACTCTGTCACATAAAAATCAGTAAAACTTAAATACTAGGAGCCACATATGATACTCTGCGATTGAATATCAGAAGTTGAAAGTTAGTTATGTTTCGAGTTAACCTGTATTACTGAACAGCAACAATTGTGCTTCAATCACTTCAGATATATCACTTCGAATATGTTACTATTACTTAATAATCTATTGGAGGACCGAACACGGATACAATGAATAATTTTTTGCTACTTTGCAATATGTATTGTTTTGTTTATTGTTTATTTGTTTCCTGTTTTGTCTCTCGTGTAAATACAAAGAGGTCCACAGCAGTGTATACTCAACGTGTGATTAGTACAACAACAATGACTGACATTAAATAATAAATAATATGCAAATATGAGATCACATAACCTCCATAGAATGATACACGTTGAGATACATTTCTCTTTGATTAACCATATGTTTCAGGACACCCGAATGGAGAGAAGAAATAAATGTATATACGCTAAACCTTTTCTCTTTTCTTTTCTTTATTTATTTATCACTGATATGATTTATTTACAATATATTTGGACTTCTTTGTCTCAATGTTTATGTTGATATACGCTACTACATTATATACACATAATTTCGCCTATACTATATACACCCATCGATTATTATTTAACGTATATTCACAGACTATTAAACCGAATATGTTACAACAAATATTGTTTTTTTTTTTTTTTTTTTTTTTTTGAGGTTAGTTCTCTCGGCTGAGAGAAACTTAGTGTCTTCGGTCCCACCCCGGAACCATACGACACAACGATGCTTGACCCAGATTGTGATTGTCTTCTTAACTAGATGATCTTTCCTATTCTTTTTATATAATTATATATACTCCTAATAGTGATCCATTCCTTTCTCTTAAGCGTCCTTGTGATATCTATTTCTTCATTTATTCCTCCCCGTCTAAGGTCCCTGTCCAGTATCTCCCTCTCCTCGTCGTACATGCTACATCTCCACAGCACGTGATCAATACTCTCGCACTCTTTACCGCAATCGCACCTGGCGTCCTCTATATACCCCTTTCTTGCCAGTGACTCGTTGAAGTTATAATGGTTACTCCTCAGTCGGTTAATTAACGTTATAAAGTATCTTTCTTCATTCATCCCATGAAACCATGGTTTTTTCCTTTTCCTTTTATAGAAGTTTTGAAAGTAATAGATGCCTTTATAACTTGCATCCTTAACTATGGAATCTTGAGTTTTGTTCCAAATTTCCTGTCTGAATCCTTGTCGAAAATCCAGAAATGGGACTTCTATAAATTCATCTTCTTCCTCTTCTGTCGCTTCCTTCGCTAATTTATCTGCCAACTCATTGCCTTTTATTCCCACTGTGATGGTATCCACACGTAGACTTAGACTATCCTTTTCTTTTTTCTTTAATGAGTCTGTAATGTCTCTCTCTAATTTCACTAATATATCTGTTTTTATATACACTTAGATGATTATTATTAATTGCTTGTAATACTGCTTTGGCGTCTGATAGGATTGCTATATCCCTTGATTTGTTGTCGGCTTCAATTTCCATAATTTCTAAGGCAGCTTTGATTGCTATTGCTTCTGCGGTGAACGTCGAACAATTCTTCGATATACTAATATTGTATGCCTCTTCCTGCTCCTCTATCACCACACTCGCGCCCAATGATTTGCCACCTTTCTTCTTCGATCCATCCGTGTATATTATGGTGAATCCTTCTTCCAAGCCGTGAGTATTTTTGATTTTTTCCATTAGTTGAGCATCCGTCACTCCCTTTCTCTTATGACAATATCCGGTACTTAAATCTATGTTTATTTTTTGTGTAACCATATCATATTCCATGTCGAATATTTCAAATTTTCTTCTAACTCTCATCTTCTTTCTACACCATTTAATTCGTCTCCATGTCTCTCCTATAATACTTCTTTGGTGTAATGGTTGTCTATATCTAGCGTAGTCTTCATTTTGTACTAACTCCTCAATTTTTTTACGTAGATCTTCTTCTCCCTATATACTAATCTTACTTAGGAAATTTCTAGCTAATAATTTTGCTCTATCCCTGAGTAAAGTTACTTTAGCTTCCGCTATGATAACATTGTTTGGTGTGCTATTTTTATACCCTAAACGCTGTACGTATTCCTAGATACTGAGTTCTTTCCATTTTTAATTTTTGATCTGCCCTTTTTGGGAAATATACAAAGTTTCCATAATCCGTTATTGATCTAATCAAGCTTTTATACAACATTAAAGCTGTATTTACTTCCATACCTTTAGATTTTTTTATTCAAATATACCATTAACGAGTTTGCTTTACTAACTTTACCTTTTACTTCTTGAACCTGTTTCATAAATTCAAGTTTACTATCTAACCAAATTCCTAAAAATTTCGTTTCTGTTTGTGCATATATCTTAGTATTTTTTAATTCTATATAAGTATTATTACAGCCGCCATGTTTTGAAAATTGTATCAATACTGTCTTCTTTGGTTCTAGTTGGAGTCCTAACTCCATTAGTTGTTCATTAATACTATTCACTCTTGCAAGTTATTCCGGAAGCGAAAAGAAGCACGTTCGAGCATTTTCAAAACGAACTGTTCGATCAGGCCGAGGACATCCACTTGACGACGTTGGATTACATGGCCGAATGTCTGGAGGCACTCGCGCCAACGCCGCCGCCCCTGACAGCGAACCAGGCTCCGGGCGCCGCGTGCAGTCATGGGCCGCCTGCCTCCTCATTCTCACTGGCGCATCTGCCGCCCATCAACATTCCGCCATTCTCAGGGAAATATGAAGATTGGGAGACGTTCCGCGATCGCTTTACGTCCCTCATTATTAAAAATCCCGAACTTTCTGCATTTGCGCGAATGCATTTTCTCTCATCAAGCCTCGCCGGGCGGGCGCTTGAATCTATTCGAAGCATCCCAATAACCGCGGATAACTTTGAACTTGCGTGGAAGGCCCTCGAGTCGAGGTACGAAAATAAACGTCGATTAGTCGAGATGCATGTGTCCGCGTTATATAATTTGCCGAGCGTTTCCCGCGAATCAGCGAGCGAACTCAGCAAGCTTCGGGATAAAGCAAATCGCGCAATCACGTCGCTGAAGAATTTAGATTGATCCGAATCCGACATTCTCAGCGACATGCTGATGTATAGCGTCGCACAAAGGCTTGATCCCGCCACTCGGAAAGCGTGGAAACTAAAGGGTGGGGATGACGCGCGAATCCCAACATTCAGCGAACTCGACCGATTCCTCGATTCTCGTGCTCGCGCGCTCGAAGAATTGCATCCCGCGAATGTAGACAAACAAGCTCGCGCGCAGAAGGCGACCAACGCTACAGCATCGGGAGCTTCTTCAATTTCGTGTCCGCTTTGTAAAGCATCTCACTTCCTACACAAATGTCAAGTCTTTCTGAAGAAGAATCCGAGTCAACGATTGGAAGCAGTAAAAAAGGCGAATCGCTGTGTAAATTGCCTAAGCGACAAACACGCCGTACAATTATGTCAAAGCAAATATTCGTGCCGAACATGTCGCAAAAGGCATCATTCGATGTTGCACGTCGACTCGGACACTTCTACCACGAAAGATACTTCCACCGCGAAAGATACGCCTGCCGCGGAAAATACTTCTGTCGCGACCGCATCGATCCACGATGCCGCGCCCATCACGACATTATTCTCGAGCGCGAAAGTGTCGTCGATGCCTCCCGTGTTGCTCGCGACGGCAAGAGTAAGAGTCGGGTTTCCCTCCGAATCTCCGAACGGTCGTACTCGCGTCGTTCGAGCGCTTCTCGATCAAGGATCAGAGATGACCTTTATTACCGAACGATTGAGGCAAGGCTTAAGATTGCGTCGCGTTAGAATGCCTGTCTCGAACTCCGCAATCGGAGGCGTCGACGCCGGAACATGTCGATACGCGGCCGAAATTCAGATCTCGCCGATCGGCCAAACTTCTCTCGCGTTCAAGACCACTGCGTCCGTCATGACAAACTTAACGAAATACACTCCGTCGCCCGTAACGTCGCCCGTCCAATGGAGCCATGTAGCCGATCTCGCGCTCGCGGATGCGGATCCTACGAATTCGGACCCCATTGACATACTCATCGGTGCCGACCTGTACGGCGATTTGCTGCTCGACGGCATTCGAAAGGGCTCCCGCAGTCAACCCCTCGCGCAGAATACCGTTCTCGGTTGGGTGCTGTCCGGCCCCGCGGCTGACCCACAAGCTCGTCCTCGAACAGTCACGACTCAGCATTGTTCTAATACCCCGTCTCTCGACGAGGAACTCCGACGCTTCTGGGAAATCGAAAAAATCCCTCGCGCCATTCCACTGAGTCCGGAGGAGCAACAGTGCGAAGATCACTTCCTCGCCACTCATTGGCGCCGCTCCGACGGACGATACGTGATTCGCTTTCCGTTCAAAACCGGTCCCCCAATCGAGATCGGTAATTCTTATCACTCAGCCGAGCGACAGTTGAGAGGTCTTGAACGCAGATTAAACGCCGATGAGAGAGTAGCGACGGAATACCGCGCCTTTATGGAGGAGTACGAGCGACTCGGGCATATGAAGCGTGTACCGCACGACGCAGACGCGTCATCTCAACACGTTTACATTCCGCATCACCCCGTGATTCGCGAAAGTAGCACCACTACTCGGTTACGGGTCGTTTTTAACGCGTCGAATCCAACGAGCAGCGGCACGTCGCTGAATGACCACTTGCTAACCGGGCAAAAGTTGCAGACCGACTTAGCTGCCATTCTACTAAGATGGATGCTACCTCGATACGTGTACTCCGCGACATTACAAAAATGTATCGTCAAATCGAAATCGATCCTCGTGACGTCAACTATCAGCGAATCCTATGGTTCGATCGCGAATCTCGAACCATCATCGCGTTCATTCTGTTAGTCCTAACGTACGGAACGGTTAACGCTCCTCATGATGCGCTTCGCGTTCTGGAACAACTAGTTCGGGACGAGGGAAGCTCATTTCTGTTGGCGGTTCCGGTGATTCGAAAGGGCCGATATATAGACGATTTCTTTTCGGAGCGGACGATATACTGCTACTTCGTCAGACGCGCGATCAAATATGCGCGTTACTGAGTCGGGGGCGGTTCGAATTACGTAAGTGGGCGAGCAACTCTCCGCAACTTCTGGCCGACATTGACGTCAAAAATCACGGATTAGCGTGTTCGAAAACCTTGCAGGCCGATGAGCAACTGAAAGTGCTCGGAATAAGCTGGAAGTCTGCCCTCGACGTATTCTAATTCGACGTTTTGCTCCCTCCTTCCATTCCAAAGACCAAAAGATCCATTCTATCCTTGGTAGCGAAAATCTTTGACCCGCTAGGGTGGGTCACGCCCGTGACAATAAACGCAAAGATCTTTCTGCAACAACTCTGGCAGGCGAAAGTGGAATGGGACGAAGCCATCGCGGACGACCTTTTCGCGCAGTGGAAGACGACTCACGCATCCCTGGCGACGATCAATGGTCTTCACGTAGACCGATGGGTACGATACGGTTCCGACACGGCGAACTGCGAACTTCACGGCTTCTGCGACGCTTCCACCACCGCGTTCGCGGCCGCAGTTTATATTCGCGTCACCTCCGTGACAGGCGAGACCACTTCCAGGCTGCTCATCGCCAAGTCAAAGGTCGCTCTGATCAAATCCTTAAGTATTCCTCGGTTGGAATTATCTGCTGCCGTTTTATTGGCTTGGCTGCTAGAATTCGTGCGATCATCGCTACAACTGACTACCATACCTTGCTTCTGCTGGACGGACGCTCTCGTCGTGCTAGCATGGGTGACTCAACACCCTTCAAAGTGGAAAACTTTCGTTGCTAATCGCGTCTCAGAGATACAATCCCGCGTCCCGTTCGCTACCTGGAGACACGTGCCAACCGAAGACAATCCGGCCGACTGCGCTTCTCGCGGCATTCTTGGATGCCATCTCGCGTCCCACCATTTGTGGTGGCAGGGGCCTTCGTGGCTGAGACGTCCTACGATTGAGTGGCCCGCTCAACGCGAACCGTCGTCTCCCGATACGACGCTCGAGCAGAATCCGCGCGTCACCACGCACATAGTAAAGCCGGTCGAAAAGTGGGACTTAGCGGCACGATACTTGTCGTGGCCGAAATTAATTCGAATCACCGCTTATATCCTTCGGTTCGCATCTCGAACTCGCCGTATCAAAACTAACGTCATCGAGGCGAGTCCGCTCGCTCTCTTCGCGGACGAGTGCCGATTGGCACGAGTATTTTGGCTCAGACGAATCCAAGAGGAAGAGTTTCCCGGGGAACGAGAAGCGCTCTTGAGCTAAAAGACGATCTCGTCGAAAAGTGCACTCATATCGCTCGATCCTTTTATCGGGGAAGATAAATTAATTCGCGTAGGCGGGCGGTTAGCCCACGCTCCGCTACCACTAACCGCGAAACACCCCATCATACTCTCCTCTCACCCTCTAGTCTTTTTACTAGTCCAGCACGCGCATATAAGGTCGCTTCACGCCGGCACACAGCTCACACTCGCTACATTACGCCGGGACGTGTGGATTTTGCGCGCGCGAAATATAGTAAAGGCCGTAATACACCGATGCGTAACATGCGCACGCGAAAAGGCGGCAATTCCCACTCCAATAATGGGACAACTGCCTCACGTGAGAGTCTCCCCTTCCGCGCGCGCGTTTCAGCATTGCGGTCTGGATTACGCGGGCCCAATGCATGTGCGCCCGATGTCCGGGCGTGGAATCTCATCTCATAAGGCGTATATCGCAATCTTCATTTGCATGGCCACGCGCGCCGTGCACCTCGAGATAGTAGACGGCTACTCGACTCCCGCGTTCTTAGGAGCATATTCACGGTTCTGCGCCCGACGAGGCCTCCCCGCGTCAATCTATTCCGACAACGGAACAACGTTCGTCGGCGCGGACCGCGAAATTCAAGGAGCGTTTCGCGCGGCCCTACGCGATCCGAACTTCTTAAATCGAACCGCCTCTAATCAAGTTACGTGGCACTTCATTCCTCCGGCAGCCCCGCATTTCGGCGGGCTATGGGAAACCGGAGTTCGAAGCGTGAAGCACCACCTTCGAAGAGTAGTGGGGGCTCACATCCTCACGTTCGAGGAATTCGCGACACTCCTGTGCAATATAGAGGCCTGTCTAAATTCCAGGCCGCTCGCCCCGCTCACCGATTCCGCTGACGAATATGAGGCGCTCACTCCCGGTCATTTTTTAATAGGCGCCGCGTTAACCGCGAGCCCCAAAGCCTCCGTGCTTCATTTTAATGAAAATTGGCTCTCGCGGTGGCAAGTGGTCCGTCAGACGACAGAACGGTTCTGGAAACTGTGGCAAACCGATTACGTCAACACGCTGCAGCAAAGAGCCAAGTGGCGAAAATCTGGAAAGGAGCAAATCCGAGTAGGACAGCTCGTATTCCTTCAAAACCCGTTACTTCCACCGTGCAAGTGGGAGTTAGGCCGCATAATCCAATGTCACGCGGGCTCCGATAATGTCGTACGAGTCGTAACAGTAAAGACCGCAACGTCCGAATTCAAGCGGCCCGTTGTAAAAATCTGCGTATTACCAATCGATATCAAAAAACGTCGAAACGCTGGCGTAACTTCGTAAACCGTGCTCTATGCACTTATTCGAATCGCCCAAACTTAGCGACCGCCTCGAGCAACGCGCTAGTTCAGCCATGCGATTTCGAAACGAAGGTTTCGAGGCGGGCGGTATGTTGGGGATTTCCCCAATTTAGTAATGTAAAAATTATATCTAACCGTTATATGTACTGCGATATACGTTTCGCGAAATGCTCGATAAGTTCGGAACCGCCGGAAGAAGCCGAGCCGCGCCGAAGGCGAGCGCGCGTCAGCATCCCCACGCGGCTCGCCCGACCGCCGGCCTCCCTTCCAACGAACCCGCCGCGCCGCGGTATATAAGCCGGCGCTCCGACAGGAGCCGACACTTCGTCTTATCCCCGGCTCTCTGCTGCCTTCGGCGAAGCCTACCCTATCCAACTTCTTAGGGCGACACATAAAACGAGGTCCGGTGCTCCGAGTCTCGACTGAGAGCTCTCAGGTGTCCCCGAACTCCAGCCTACCAAACCGACGATCACGATCCCTCGGGGTCGAGCACGCTCGGCCTCGTTGCGAGCCCTCTCGCTGTCGTGGCCCCGGTGCTTCGCTTCCTGCCGTATCCACCTACCGCGTCTCTGTAGGCATCGGACGTTAGACCGCGTTTCGCAACTCCGGCACACCGCGACAATTGCATTCGCGATACCGTCTATCGTTTCTATCGCTTTTCTGTGTGCATTTCTGTAACTCGCACTTCAAAACTACGCATATTACAAGTCACAGCGCGCCGAGTGCATTCGCACTAATTTTCTGTACATCTCGCGTTTCGTCAGTTTTGTTTTATTATATCGAATAAAGTTTATATATATTATAAGTCAATTGCTGTCTTTTGGGCCTTCCACTCAACTTCCTAACAAGCGATCGAGTCCGCGTTTAACTGAAACCCCGGTCGTCTCATAGTTAAAGGGCTAAACGAAGCCATTCGTAATTATCTCGCGTTCTCGCGGAACGGATTCGGCGATTCGTTCGGCGCGTTTAGTGCGCGCCCGAACATCATTAATATACTATAAATTACATTATCATAAGCTGAAGAAACGTCTAAAAAGGCTGCTAGAACATATTGATTTGTATAAATACCGTTCTTTATATCTGTTGTTAACCTGACCAGATTTTCTGCACATGACCTGCCTCTCCTAAATCCATTCTGGTCCCTAGCAAGCTTGTTGTTTCGTTCCGCCCACCAAACCATTCTTTCATTCACCATTCTCTCCATGATTTTTCCTACACAAGATGATAGTGCGATTGGTCTGACTTTTTCTTTTCCAGCCTTGTCTATGAACATCGTTTGGTATTTCCTCCAGTCTTCCGGGAATTAATCTGTAGTCCATACTTCATTACATATGTCCAACAGTACCTCTTCCATTTCTTCAGTTAAGTTTTTCAGCATACAATATTCTACTCCGTCTCTTCCTGATGCCGAATTTTTTTTTATCATTTGTAATGCTCTTTTTAGCTCTTCTCTTGTAAACTTATCTTCTAAGCTATCTTCTGTACTGTCATTTCTTTCTTGATCTAACATTTCTACTTGAACACTTGGTGGTGCTAATTTATCAATTTCTTTTCTTATTTCTTCTTCTCTGTTTTTATTTTTCCAGCTATTCCAATTTATTTTCTTTTTCACATTTTTGAAAATTCTCATTTTATTCCAAACATATGTCTGGCTCGTGAATCTATTGATTGATGCACAAAAACTATCAAAACTTTCTCTTTTCTTTGTGTTTATAATCTTTCTTGCTTCCGCTTGTTGTGAGGCGGAAGTCGCCGTGCCCGAATTGCGACACATAGCTGTCAGCGCACATCTCGAATATTTCCAAACTCACCTGAGGTGGCATTCCGGATGTCGCAAGCGGCTTCCAGGTCGCTCACCCGGAAGCAAAAGCGCTGACAGCTAAGTCAGCATCGCGGAAGTAATACGCGAAGAGATAAAAAGCCCGCCCTTCCAAGAAGCGGCGGGCAGTCTAGAACGTAAGGCTAATCGCGCACGACCAACGTAACCTATCCTATTGTGAACGCCCGCGAGTCAAGGCAACAAAATCAACGAAACTAGTGTATCAAGTTAAAAAGGTCTTTTATTAAAATATCGTTGGACAAAAACTCTGGCAACGTTATTCTTCCTTCCTCCCGGCGGATCCAAAAGAACTCAGTGCCGACCCCTCGAATCAGAGGTACGGCACAACAATTGGTGGCAGCGGTGGGATCTGCCAACCGGACGGGAGGACGTCCTGCCAGATTGCGCCTGCGAAAGGGAACGGATCGTTAGACGGTGGTAAAATATCCCGGAGAGGAAAAGCCAGCCGGATCCCGAGTGCGTGAAACAACGGCAGTAGCCCCGCGTGTTATCAGCGACACCGGAGAGGCTCCGACCTACCGCACGGACTCGCCAGCCCGACGCAGCGACGCAGGGACGCAGCGAGCCAGCGAAGCAGCGCAGCAGGGACGCGGCGAAGCAGACAACGCGGAAGCAGTGAAGCGGCCCTGTCAGACTCAACGCGGCAGGAAGCGGTCACGATGCACTACGCGGCGGTACTGTAAGTCGACACTCCATTGTAAGCCGACACCGGCACGCGCCGCGACGAAAACGTTATATCTCTGCGTGAGTATCCCGCGATAGCGAACTGCGAGAGAAATTTTCGCGATTGCAGGCAATACAACCGCGAAGCGCCGAAAGATTTTCGCGTTTCAGAGCGCTAAAGTATAAGCGTCAATAGATGTCGAACGACTTGTCCCGGCATCCCCCTGTCAGCAACGCGTCATTCGTGTTAAGCGAGCGCGCGCAACGAGCCATCGAAAATAGTATTCGAAATCGTTTTCGCGCCATACGACTCGCGAACGACGAACTAGATCGCGTGCAAAGAAAAGACGCGCAACTCGACGACGCAAGCTCGCCGGTGCTCGAGCTACGACCTAACGTCATCGTAGAACGCGAATTTGAATTCTTAGACGCTAGTCTTTGCGACGCGAACAGAAACCCGCGAGATAGCATAGACAACACAAGCGGCGACGAACACGATAACGCACACAGACAGCCCCCGACCGACGGCGACGCACGATCGGACACCTCGGCCGATACTCAAAGCGAGAACGCAGGGAGAGGAGAATTCTCCCTGACGTCATACAAAAGCGATATATTCGACCCCGAGGAAGAGGATTATACCCCCCGGGCCGACAGAATGAGCCAGCCACGAGCTGCCGCGACCATCGCGCCGCGAGAGGACATATCCCCGGCGCAAATTAACGCGGAAATAGAGCGGCTTAGACCCACGGAAAATGGGCAACCGCTCGAAGGCAACCAAAGTCGAGCCCCCGTGTTTGAAATGGTATGACTTTTCAGCCAACCGATGCTAGTTCGCGTAAAGAATCCGAATCCTGGTTTTAAGAATGTTTCGAAAAGGTGTATTAATTACAATGAAGACGTAAATAGCTTCAAACAAAAAATATTTATTTTTACACTGAAGATTTCTTTGTAGATTACGTAGAGCAGCAGGATGAAACGTCAGCCGAATAGAATTGTAGACAAATTGCGTAAATATCCTTAAATTAATGTTATTTGATAAAAGGAATAATAAACGAACCGCAGGTTCAGTCGAAATGGGCATAATACATTTTAAGCGAGTGTGATCGCTTGATATTGAAAGCAAACATATATATAGTATCACGAAATATCTGAGTAATATATCACACACGTAA